GATAAATGATATGACTCTCCCATATAGCAAGGGAGATTTCTCCCTTCCATTATACATAGTAGTGGCAAAAGCTTAGCCAGCAAATTGTTATGATTTTCTTGATCATAAAGAAATGTTCCCTAGTTTCAATAAGGTGGACTGGTCCATAAAGAAAAAGATCAGATGGCTCAAGTTTTGATACTAGAAATAATGCATGGAACATTCAAAAAAAGATCTTGAGGGCAGGAGCCATGACTTCTACACATTTAAAAGAAAGCCCACAGGGTTGGGCCTATAGTAAAACGTAAGAAATAATTGAAGAGTGATTTACATTTCTATAAATCAATTCTATTTTTCTACTGTCTAGAAACAGTTTAAAATGTTGATGTGGCAGAAGTCTTTGATATTAAGAGAACTGTAGGATTATGGCCCCCCACCATTTCTAGAAGTACTTCCCTTTTTCATAGATATTTACAATATTAATTGGCAGAACTAGACTAGACATTATTATGTGGTGTGGGTAAATGCTATCATATGACATTCCTTTATCCAACAACTATGCCACAGTAATGTGCTTCTTGGCTCCTAACTCAATGATTTTTACCTAATCAACCAAAGAATGCCCCAAATGAATAGTCTGCCTTAGAAATTCTTTCGGCTCAAGGCTTATAGTGACTCATTTTACCAAATATACTCTTATAATTTGCAAAGTCCACTTATAAGATATTTGTGTGTTAAAATATTACTAAGAACAATTACAGTAGGTACTAAAAATCACAGTAGCTATTCGAGGTCTTAACATAAAGTGGGACCTTGAAAATCAACATTTTAAATTTTAGCTGAGTATTCTCAAGCTAACTTAGTATTAAGTGTTTAGAATGAGAGATATATACTAATTAGAATCAAGTTATGACAAGTTGGTGAAGACTCTACCTTTATGGGGGGGGAACCAAAAAAAAAAAATCATGGATTATCTTTTGGAGGGTGGGCCCCTTGTAGAGGTTTCCTCCTCTAGGTAAGTGTTCTAGGAACCCATTGGCATCAGTGTGCTGGCATTGTTGTAAGAGACTGTGTTTGACTTCAGCAATTTTTTTTTTTTTTTAGATTCTTTCAATGTATTTGCCCATTTCATGATGGGTACACCTGCCAACACTGTGCTGTGTGTTCAGTAGTTTTTAACCACAATTGGCATGACACCTGTGCCCCACCCTCCTTATTTACTCCATCTTGCCCTGAGCGACTTTTATTGTTTTTTAAATTTATTTCCCAGGGGTGAAAAGAGAAATGTTTTGCCAGTGTGGAAGAGGTGTAACAAAAAACGGCAGTAGTACTAAAAACATCAAAATGGACAAGTTCAAAAACTGTTTTGAGTGGTGGAAAAAGCATCTCAAGAGGTGAATTGTGTCAAACAGAGTGCTTTTAGGACGACTGGAATTTAAACATGTAAGAATAAGTATACAATTTTTTATAAATTAATTCCATTTTGGGGGTCCCCCTTTGTATATATCTAAAATAAATATATAAAACTATTTACAAAAGCTTATCTAGCAAGTTGATTTTATTTCCTACTATGAAAATGTTCTCAATCAAGAAAATAGTTAAGCATGTCTTGTACAGAAGATACATTCTCTTTCAACTCAGTCAGTGGAGAGGTCAAAGCAGTGTCCTGTAATAAATCTAACTACCTCCAAGGTACAAAATAAATTTCAAAAAAATTTTTAAAATAAGGATTATACATATTTAAATTTTAGCTCCTGCTGAGATTAAGGAGATGGAAGAAGTAACATGCTATGAATATATGCAGGGGTACTTTGACCAAAGACTGGTCATCACACATATGATGTTCATATGAAGAGTTGGGTGGCTTGAAAAGATAACAAAAATTTATGACTAAAAATAAGGCTGATAAATGTGCCAATTTGCTTCTGAGCTTTTAATCTCTAATAGCTGGTAAGGAATACCATAGTTGTTCTTTGTAGACTTGTCTGATCAGAATTATATTTGTGTAGCTCAGAAGATTCAAAATTCATGTTTCTGTACCACACAGAAAATTCTGGATCATACCAGAGATATATAAACTTTTACACAAAATATTCAGAGTTTTTTAGGGTATAGAGTAGATGCCCAGACCATTTTGCCTAAAAACCTTCCTGTCTTTACATATCTACTTAACCATATACATATTCTTAAGCAAATACAAAAGTGAGGGAAAAGCAGTATTCTTGAGAGAAAACTGCATGCCAGGAATTACTAGCTTTTAACCTTTGTCTTTTTAACCAAGTTACAAGTATTATTTAAGAAAGCATATCTGAATATATTGTAAGGCAAATTTTCACTGAAATGTCTTCCACAATGAAACATAAGATGCCACAGTTAAAAAAAAAAGTAGTAAAACATCAAATCTTAAAATATCACTTTTTAACATCTCCCTTTCATTTTCTGATGAAATTTTAAGATACACTGTTAAGAAGGTAAATATTGAAATGGAATATATTTGAATTCAAAAACCACATATTTTAATTCCTTTATACTCAAATCTTTAAGCAATTAACAATTTAACCACAGTACATTATCAGTCTCAAGCAATTTAGTAATTCTACTTTTATATCCAAAAAGTAAATGTTTTTGTCTACTTTTGAATAATTAGTAAATCAGCATAGTATGCTTATATTTTACTACCCTTGATTGTGAACTAATGGATTATTTAGAAAGTGGTAATGTTCTAATTAAAAACTGCCAACGTTCATGTGTGATGACCAGGCATTTATTGAAAGTAAATGAAAATTACTTTCAGCAACCAACTAAATACCAGACTGACTATAAGAGAGGGAATAAAGGATGCCAGATCATCATTAAACAATATATACTGGCTACTTGCTATGTTAAACTAGCCAGTAGGGAACCCAATGACCAGACACAATGTTAGCAACAGGGATATTTACGTAAAATCTGGTGGGCATGGGCTATGCCTTCCACTTCTCTTTTGTGTTCCTAAGATCAGTGGGTGATTTAATAAGGAGTTTCTTATTTATGAATTCCTTATGACTTATACTCATTTTGTTTGAGAGTTATGGTTAAAAGGGAGGGTCAAATAATAGATTACCTGAAATAAATCTAAACTCACATTCACTTTCTCCTTACTGCCAATTTAGCTATAATTAACTATGGAGAAAAATTATAAGCATGAATCAATTTTATAACATTAACTGAAATTATTTTAGCTTAAATTTTTAGACATGGTTGCTTGTATTTGAAGAAGGCTACAGATAGTGATAACTGAAAGACTGACTGAAATTAACTGATGATCATTTCCATCCTAAGCACAAAGGAAGAGTGCTCTTTGATCTATGTTTACTGTTTGTAGTCTGTTACTATTTCTGAGCTAACTCTTGAGTTCATTGCCTTTGTTCAGAAAAAAATCACCCAAGAGTTTAAATTACACTTCTGCTAGACATTTTAAAGAAAATACTAATTATATATTAACAGTTTATAATACAGTATAATAATCAAGATCATAATCCAAATTTTGGTATTAATACAACTCAAAAATTGTCCATCATAATCTTAACCAATACCTATGACACTGATGTCACATTTGTATAAGAACCACTTTAACAGCTCTACTAATCTATGGATGTATTTATCAGAGGCTTTTAAAAGAGAGAATCAAAATAATGTAAACTGTTTTCAATGTTCGAGTTTTCTTTTTTTAAAAAAGTAAAATTTTAAACTTGTTAAAATGACAATGACCATAAATATCCCAACGGCTCCTAAATAAGTTAACTAAAATGGCATACTACATTTGCCTGAGTCCATATATGCCTTAATTATAATAACCTTTACGAAAAAGTTAACCATTTTATTTTTCTATATTAGTCATTTCATATTATCTACTGTTCATTATCTTTTCAATTATCACTTTAATGTTATTTTGTTTTAAATTAGAACTGACATTTAAGTCAATATAATGGTGTGTGCCTGTAGGTCCAGCTACTTGGAAGCCTTAGGCAGAAGGATCACCTGAGCCCAGCATGTCGAGGCTGCACTCCAGCCTGGGCGACAGAGACTCCAAATCAAAACACAAAAATAAAAATAAATGCACCCCCCATCTGCTTCCCTGCCCCATTTCCATTTTTGACAAAAAGAAGAGACCTTTCCCAAATAATGGTAGCTTTTGTAAGGGAGCAAAGAACACAAACAGTGAACTTGGCCACCGCGAGGAGCACAGTTCTCCAACTTTGTTGTGCTCTCACAGACACACGCGCCACTCACAAGCACAATGCTGTTTAAAAGACGTTTCCCTTTCAAAGGAATCACCATCCTATAAAATCTTCCCCACTCTGATTTGGAATTTAAACGGGTGTGAGGTGGGAAGGGTCCTATGGGCACACTTTTCCACGAAGATGGCAGTGACCACCCCCTGCAAAGTCCCTAGCTACGAAGACCGGCAAGTAGAGCAGTCTGTGCCCCACGGGTGTGAGCCAAGGAGGCCCCTCGGACCTCTCTCCATCTCCCGCCCCAGACCCACCGCCCTCCACCTCGCGCCTACAAATCCTCCTCCTTCCACCTCACGCCCCCAAACCCTCCCTCCCTCCTCACGTCCCAAATCCTCCTCTTGCCTTCCTCACAAGCGGTAAGTTCTCTTCCTCCACCTCACGCCCCCAAATCCTCCTCTTCCCTCCCTCACACACCTCGTCCTCTTCTTCCTCCTCACGCCCCGAATGCTCCTCCCTCCACCTCACGCCCCACATCTCGCTCCCTCCACTCACGCCCTAAAGCCTCCTCTTCCCTCCCTTACATACCCTAGGTCCTCCTCTCCACACCTCACGCCCCAAGTCCTTCCCTTCCCGCCCTCACACACTCGAAACCCTCCTCCCCCTCCCCCTCCCGCCCAACCCGCCCCTTCCCTCACACACCCCTGAGTCCCCCTCTCCCCCTCAGGCCCCCAGTCCTCCCCCTCAACCGCCTCCAGTCAGCACCCTGAGTTCCCGCTCCCAGCGGTCCCCGGCTCCAACACTCACGCGAAGAAAGGGTCCTCCTCAAAGGGGCTGCTCAGCATCCTGGACATCCTGGCTGCGTCTCGGGCGGCGGCGGACGCGATAGATTGGAAAACGCCGTGACTCGCCGCGGCCGCGACCCCAACCGCCTCCCGCACGGTCGACGCCT